AATGAAATTTAACCACCCGGTACATATATTTAACCGAAACAGCTTGTATTTTTACATGATTTTTTTTTAATTATACAAAAAGCAAGTCAATAACTCTATATATTACAGCCCACCCCCCTTTAAAACAGCCTTCCCTTCTCGAAACATATTTACTCCCATCGCCGGTCGCCAGTTCTTAACTCCCATCTCAAGAAACTTTCTAATTGCGGTTTGAGATCCACCTCGCACGTACCTGTCACCTGGCGCCATCTTAAGGACGTTCGCGGTATTATAGGTTTACTTGAAACAAGTTAAAACAAGTTATAAGCCCTTATGACGTGACTAGATTTCGAACGGCGTATTTACTCGCCCTGCCACCCTTTGGCATTTCTGCCAACAAAACAATCTTTTTCTTAACATTTTTTAGGGTATTTTTTATATCAGCTATTTACATGATAATAAGTGGGGTGTGAATTTAAACTAGATACGTGTTCAAATATCTATGATTATAAACATTCATCGATATTTAAAAAGATGGACCATCAAATGTCAGACGTCAGCTCTGCTTTTAATTGCGTTAAGAATTTGTAGAAGGCCATTTTAGACTCAATGACTGAATTGTAAAAGGCCAACAAAAAGAAGAAAATTGTAGGTTATGTTGGAGAGAAAAAGAACGGCTAGAGAATAAGATTTTGGTAGGACATTTCGCAAGATTTTAGTAGCTGATGTAGTTACATGTTATGTTGGATCAAATAGAATAAAGCATTGTTTCAAAAAATAAAAGTAATTATTTTTATCCCATTGCAATTATTCGTGTAAGGACCTAGGAGCTCTACAAATCAAAAGGTCCTTCGAGCCAGTATCTAAGCGGTGCTTAAAAGAAAACAAAAACCATTTCTTCCGATAACAGATATATATTTGCTTTTTTCAACTTCTTTAGTGAATGTTTTAATTTAGTAAAATGTATTGAATTATTGTACATATTAAAAATTATTAATATTATTGATTTATTATTAATATCGTTAATGTTTCTTCTAAATTTTACAGAGGATGTACTATTTTTAATTTTTATGAATCATATATCATAGACTCTTGGTGCCAATTTTTTTAAAAAATATTACTTTTATACTATTTATAAATACCTTTTTTTATATCTGTTTTCATTAAGATGTGTTAAAAAACAATATTTGAGATTTTACAAAAATAGTTGTCGCATGTACAGAACTTTGGAAGTTTGAAAGAGCATATCACTACAAACACTTCTGGATTTATTAAATATAATTTCTAAAAAACATTTTTAAATCACTTCCAAATATTTCATATGTATACCAGACACAAAATTCTATAGTAGATAACATTGTACTAGACTGTAAAGTATTTAAATACCTAAATCATGATAGTAGTTCTCTTAACTTATCAATGACATATTGTTGGAAATACATCTAATATATTATATTAATTAATCAGGCTAGCCCAGCTATGCATCCCAATAATTCATCCATTTAACCTAATAAGAATCCAATTATTGATTCAATAACAAAAAATAGTCACCCCTGGTTAGTTGAATTAATTACAAGTTTCTGAAACAACTAATTTAATATAACCATATTAGTTACGTCATGTTTATCTTTTCATCTCTCTCGCACATATAGACATAGTTTAAGTTTCAAGGCGGTTAATCAAGCTGATAAAACTGAAATGTACTCTTAATCAGAGGGATCTTTTGTCACTACTTCTGAAAATACGATTTGGCCTAATCATTTGTTTTTCTGGATACAATCACAAAGAAAAAGGTTAGTTTTCGATCCACTCAGAAAACGTAATTCCATATACATTGTTCTTCTAATATCAAAGATCCTATCTCTTATACTCAGATTTCCTGAGCCAGCGAGTCATGAGACATTGTTTATGTAAATAATTATTAATAATACCATGGTTTTAAATAATTTTTAATTCATAGAAAAAATATACAATCTATATTCACTTTATTACTTTATCACTACCTACTTTTCACCAATCCACCCCTCTCATCCCCTTCTAATAATGCTACTAAATCTGACAAGGCAAGGAATTCCATTTCTACCCTTTCGGCATACGTGCACGTTCACCTACAACCCCCTTTTTCGAATGCTAATCATCCCCTAATATGTTCTTTGGCGAATGTTAATGTTTGCCAGCAATATGTGGGGTGGAGAGAGAGGAATTTTCGGCGAGGGGTTGGGGTCGTAACGTGCGTTCGTACGTTCTACGGGGCGAAGATGCAACTACGTAGTTGTCAAGAATCGTTTCGCATGATAAATGCGTCTTTAGGAATGTCGTAGATGAAGGGGGAAAGGTGGAATATTGTTTTTGGGGAAAAGTAAAAATATTGATTTTGATATAGCAATTAAAAACGAAATTAATACCTAATTGAATTAAATTGAATTAACAAAGACGTAAAAAGTGCTACAGCAGAGAAAATAGCTACTCAGAAAGGAAGGAAAGATGGTTGCTCAAGTTATTGCTGCAGAAGAACCACATGCTTAATCAAGTAAAAAAGCTACAAACACAAATTATAATATGCTAACAATGTTAACAAATTTAATAAACAAGAGCAGTTAGTAAACAGTATTGCAGAGAGAATAACAAAACTTGAGAGTTAGTAATAGAGCTACGAACTCACAAATATTACAAATATTAATAGAAGTACTAATGGTACAATTTAGAGAAAGGATGAGCTAAAAGCTTTCTTAAACCAGAAAAAATAGATATGTCTAATATCTGAAATGCACACAACCAAATAAATGTACATAAAAATAAGATGGTATAAAACTTATTATACTCTCCACCCACAAAAATACTATGATTGCTAAAGAAAACATGAAGAATCAAAATATGAAACCAAACCAATTGAAGCAACCACAGTAGTAATCACAAGTAGAAAAAACGAAATAATACATATCATTATCAACGATTTCTACAGTAATAATTTACATTTTAAGAACGTTATATTATTGAAGGCGATTATAATGCTAAACACAAGATGGGGCTCTAGACTCACTACAATTAAAGGCAAATATTTATCCGAATCAGCTAATGAACTCTACGTCAGGTCTCCTTTACAACGCCGTTTTGTTTTGTTTGGGTCTATCCAATAATAGCAGTGATATAGACTTAGGTCCTTCTGGCTTTGTGAATGTGCATCATTTTTCTAATTAATGTTATTCTCCGTCACGTCTCCTTCACAATACTTTTTTTCTCGTTTGAATCTGACTAATAATAGCCGAGATATAGACGTGGGTCTCTTCAACGTTAATATGTGTCACATCTAATTCCTTAGTGCATGTGTTCTATGCAAACTGGACCAATAATAATCGAGATATAAACAGACTAGATTAGCTTAGTTTCAATTAGGAGTGTGGCCATCATCCTCCTTCACCTCTGCCTTTTAAGATCTATTGTAAATATTTTTTAATAATCTGTGTTTAAAGTACCTTGTCTAATTCGGTCTTTTATAGTAGACTTCATAGACTAGGAAGTATTTCTCCGGTGTAGATAGTTGCCCTTGGTTTTTTTTCTCCAAGAGATATAGATATATAGACTTAGGTCCTTTTGGCACTACCACCGTGCCTGATTTTTCTCTTCAACGTTAATCTATATGTAATTTCCCCCACTTTCCCGTTTTTCCGCGTGATTTTTCTCATTATTGTTAATCTACGTCACGTCTCCTTTACAACGTCATTTTTTGCATTTGAATCGGACTAACATTAGCTGAGATATGAACTTAGGCCCTCTTGGCATTGCTGCTGCGCATGCTTTTTCTCTTCAGCATCAATTTATGTTGCGTCTCCTACACATCACCGTTTATTTCGTTTGAATTGGACTAATAATAGGTGAGATATAGACTTTAGGTCCTTTTGACATTGCTTACTGCGCATTATGTTTCTTTTCAGCGGTAATATATGATACGTCTCCTACATAATACATTCTTTCCCGTTTGAATCTGACCAATAGCAGTAGAGAGATCCTTGTGACATTGCTACTAGGTTTGTTTCAATCAATAGTTTTGTACTGTTTCGAAACGGTACACGGAATCGTTCAATTAGTTTGTTATGCGCAACCGCTAACCTGGCACTGTCTTACGTATGGGATAACACTTTACCGGGATAGAACGAATTTATGTACCACTTTCAGTATCGAACGATGCTGTTTGAAAATTTCAATTGGCGGGAAGTAGGAATTACCTAAATAGTTATCATTTTTAACTCTATGTTCATTTAAAATAAGTTCTAAATCCTCTTCACTAGAAGATAAGTCTGAGAGAAAATCATCACCTTCTTCATCACTCATAATTAAATTACGTACCATCCAAAAACAAACAAAAAGACAGGCCTTGCTCGTTTCAGTGTCCGCAGTGCGCATGTCAACCCAAGCGATACCAACTTTTAGTTTGGTATCGAAAAGACTGTACAGAAACCGATTCCCGAACGGTCCCATGTGCGGTTGGAACGCTAACCGGACGGTACAATGAATCGTCAATTCTCGGATGGAACAGACTTTATTTACTGCGCACACATATTTTGATTTTCTTTTACTGCGCATGACGATGACCGTACGATGTACGGTTTTCTGTTGGGTTGCAACAAACCTTCTGCGCATGATTTGTTCTTTAACATTAATCTATACTCGTTCATGTAAACGATGGACGCCATCTTGGATTTCCGACATTATATAACTGCGAGCCAACGGTATCATGTTTACCGATAAGCCGGACTTTGAACCTAATCACGTGACGTCACCGTGTAAATTGCCAGAATGAACCTTAGCGATTTTCCATGTTAATTTACACAAGCTTTGACCCCAAACCGGTGCAGTACATTTACTGGTGTGAATATCTCTACAGAAAAACTCACATATTGGCCAACGGTTCTTAATAAAATACTAGATTTGTTAGACTTCTTCATTACTTATGGCTGATTTCTTAGTTTTAAGCTTTGTTGATAGATGCAACATTGTATATTAAAAAAAAATTAAAAACTTACCTCTACCAATACTATTCGGCGACAACGATCCTGGTGCAACAGTCGGACTCCCCATCTTCCCCTCATTCTCGCTGCTCGCACTATTGCTACTACTCCCACCAACGGCCGATACACTCTGCACGCCCTCCCTAGTAACTTCCTGCAAGGTAGTCGCAGCTCTAGATCCAGCTCCTGCTGGCTGAAGAATAGTATACTGCTTATTAACCCCTTCGGGGCTCTTCTGTAATTCGGCCTGACTTTCTATAGGCTTCAAAGGCGCGATGGTTTTCTTTTCTTCAGTAACCGCGCCTTCCGGGTAGCCTACGAAGGTGGCTTCGGCTGGAAACGGGCCTAACGGAGGGTTTTTTGATTGCGGTGGTCTAAAAGCTGACGTCGTAGAAAAAGGAGATGCCGTGGTGTTCGTACGCGTGTAAGTATGGAAGGAGGAATTGCTAGAAGGGTATTTCGCAGGTTCTTTTTTCCTATCAAAGTCTTTATTCTCATTGGATTCGTTTTTCTCAGCTGCGGCTTCTGACATATCTATTTCTAATTCATTGGAAGAATCATCGACTAGTTCGTTGAAATCCGGTGATGAATACTGCATTTTTGAGGCAGCCTTTGTACCCCTGGAACTGGGTTTATCGTTACTGATATCTTCTTCAGGTTCATGGGCTTCTCTTAATGTTATGACGTCTTTTAAAGAGCACGCGTTATCACTCGAACTGTTTGAGGTTGATATTGGTGATAATTTGACAGCCTTTTTCTCGTCGAATAAATTTTCAAAGGTTGGAGTGTCTTCTTGTTGGGGGTAACCCACTCTAGGTCCCGGCCAGCTACCCGATAGGTTTTTAAGCGCAGCTTCCGTTTCTCGTATTAAAGTTTCTTCTGCAGCTCCTTCTTCTAGCTTTGGGGATTTTTTGAGCCTGCTCGGGGAGTTGGTGGGCGGCAAGACACGTTTCTTCTGTGGGAGCAGTAACGATTTGGTGTCTTTCTTCTTCGTTTCTAAGGTTTCTAATTTTGCGAAGCTTTTTGCCATTGTTGCCATATTGGGTGTTTCTATTTTTCGTTTTTTCAATGATGGCAAGCCAAATGGACGATTGGACCTAAAATAGAGAAAAATTAAATTTAGATTTGACAGTTTTTGATTTAATAGATTTAATTGAATAAATGTTAAAAATAAGTTTGTTTTTTTTAAATTATTTTGATTACTCAGGGAAACTAATTAAATAGAACACATTTGGCAACGATGGCAAAAGCTTTATATCTTCATAAGATCTATAATTTATTTCAAAAAATATATTTAAAATTAGAGCTGATCTGGTAGAATGATGAAAAGTTCTGAAGAGCAGAGGCAAATGACTTGTGTAGTCGTTTTATGCGAACTTTTTTGAAATTAAGTCTATTTAAAAAAAACCTATATAACATGTTAAATCAGTGATATTTGTAATTTCTCCTGTACTATAATTATAAAAATTGACATGAAAATTCTTTAAATATACATAGTTTTGCTTATTACGTATATCTGACCCAAGTGGTAAACATTTTTAATAGAATAACAAAAAAAAAATGAAAATAATAGTCCAGGAAATATCAGCAAAAAATGGAAATATAAAGAAAATCGTCAAAAATTAAATATATGGTGACAAAACGACGGTTATTTATGCAACGATCACTTATTTTATCACAATGTGACTTTACTTTCCAATTATTTTCGATTTTTCCTGTACTACAACTGTAGCGAAACATTTTGATAAAATAAAATAAAATAACCGCGAGGGTCATATCAATTTTTTTAAGTATACCTTCTACGTTTTCGCATAACGGAGTTTTTCCAACGGCCTAAATTTTAATTCGCATAAAAAAGAATCTTTTTTAATGCGAAAAGCCCCTTGGGTCCGAAGTAACAGACCGTTGTTGATTCTAATCCCGTTTTCCGTTGGGGGAAGGCCCGGAAAACCATATAGGAAAAATCCTGAGAGTCACTCTTCTTTTATTTTCATTTAATTTGTATTCATCAGGAGCTCTCAGGTATGCCAACCCTTCCGAAAAACACGATTAGAAACATTGGATATTCCCTGCATATTTTAAAAGACAGTATTCATATTTCCCCCCTTAGTAACGCTGTTTCAGGACCGTCTTGGGTATAAATTCTGTAAGTTTATGAAAATACATTTTTCATACTCTTGAATTTCAAATGGGACTCTTGGATATATACAAAAGCTATTTAATTGTTCTTCAAGTATATGTAGGTGCACAATTTTAATTTATCTTCCATTTAAATGACTAGTCATACTATCTTTGGTGTGATCCCTGAGTTGGTTAATTTTGGTCTTATCTAGTTTTTGACTTTGATTCTTAGCCTTTAACTAAATAAAAAGAACCAGACTACAGTTGATAACAATAACGATGAAAGAAACTAAAATCAACATTAAAACATAACAAAGAATAATTAAAGAATTCACAAATATTAATAAAGAAGCAAAGTAAGAAGATTTGCTATAAACCACGCTGTTCAATCTCCCATTAGAATATGTGACGAAGAAAATTAAAAAAGTGGTAATTGTAAAAATGTAAGAAACATAATGAAAAATATCTTGAACGAAATTGTAGGACATGGAACTAGAACTAAACCAAGAAAACAAAAAAAGAGATAGGAATAAAGCAACATCAAAAAGCTTTAAAATTTGAATGAATTTAGAGTAATAGAAAAGTTTAATAATTTAAGAATTACTATAGAGAGAATTGAAGACAGGAAACTTAAAATAGTAGATAAAATAGTCACTACAAATAAAGCATCCATGCAAAAAAGAAAAGTTAAAAAAATTCTCACAAAGAAAAGTTTAAAAAAATTCTCACAAAGAAAACCAAAATAAAGATTTACAATACAATAATCTAATCAGCAGATACATGAGTGTGATTAAACAAAAGAAAAAGATATAAAAATTAGGGGAGCAATATGGGACTACCAAATAAAATCAAAGAAGAAGAATACAGAGTTCGAACTAATGATGGAGTTTAAAAAGATTTAAAGGAAGTAATAACAAAAATAAAGCAATCCAGACTTAAATGGAAATTAAACATTCATAAAAATTGATAGAAATTTGTAGAAATTTGTATAAATTTGTAGAAATTTGTAGACATTTGTAGAAATTTGTAGAAATTTGTAGAAATTTGTAGAAATTTGTAGAAATTTGTAGAAATTTGTAGAAATTTGTAGAAATTTGTAGAAATTTGTAGAAATTTGTAGAAATTTGTAGAAATTTGTAGAAATTTGTAGAAATTTGTAGAAATTTGTAGAAATTTGTAGAAATTTGTAGAAATTTGTAGAAATTTGTAGAAATTTGTAGAAATTTGTAGAAATTTGTAGAAATTTGTAGAAATTTGTAGAAATTTGTAGAAATTTGTAGAAATTTGTAGAAATTCGTAGAAATTCGTAGAAATTCGTAGAAATTCGTAGAAATTCGTAGAAATTCGTAGAAATTCGTAGAAATTCGTAGAAATTCGTAGAAATTCGTAGAAATTCGTAGAAATTCGTAGAAATTCGTAGAAATTCGTAGAAATTCGTAGAAATTCGTAGAAATTCGTAGAAATTCTTAGAAATTCATAGAAATTCATAGAAATTCATAGAAATTCATAGAAATTCATAGAAATTCATAGAAATTCATAGAAATTCATAGAAATTCATAGAAATTCATAGAAATTCATAGAAATTCATAGAAATTCATAGAAATTCATAGAAATTCATAGAAATTCATAGAAATTCATAGAAATTCATAGAAATTCATAGAAATTCATAGAAATTCATAGAAATTCATAGAAATTCATAGAAATTCATAGAAATTCATAGAAATTCATAGAAATTCATAGAAATTCATAGAAATTCATAGAAATTCATAGAAATTCATAGAAATTCATAGAAATTCATAGAAATTCATAGAAATTCATAGAAATTCATAGAAATTCATAGAAATTCATAGAAATTCATAGAAATTCATAGAAATTCATAGAAATTCATAGAAATTCATAGAAATTCATAGAAATTCATAGAAATTCATAGAAATTCATAGAAATTCATAGAAATTCATAGAAATTCATAGAAATTCATAGAAATTCATAGAAATTCATAGAAATTCATAGAAATTCATAGAAATTCATAGAAATTCATAGAAATTCATAGAAATTCATAGAAATTCATAGAAATTCATAGAAATTCATAGAAATTCATAGAAATTCATAGAAATTCATAGAAATTTAGAATTCATAGAAATTCATAGAAATTCATAGAAATTCATAGAAATTCATAGAAATTCATAGAAATTCATAGAAATTCATAGAAATTCATAGAAATTCATAGAAATTCATAGAAATTCATAGAAATTCATAGAAATTCATAGAAATTCATAGAAATTCATAGAAATTCATAGAAATTCATAGAAATTCATAGAAATTCATAGAAATTCATAGAAATTCATAGAAATTCATAGAAATTCATAGAAATTCATAGAAATTCATAGAAATTCATAGAAATTCATAGAAATTCATAGAAATTCATAGAAATTCATAGAAATTCATAGAAATTCATAGAAATTCATAGAAATTCATAGAAATTCATAGAAATTCATAGAAATTCATAGAAATTCATAGAAATTCATAGAAATTCATAGAAATTCATAGAAATTCATAGAAATTCATAGAAATTCATAGAAATTCATAGAAATTCATAGAAATTCATAGAAATTCATAGAAATTCATAGAAATTCATAGAAATTCATAGAAATTCATAGAAATTCATAGAAATTCATAGAAATTCATAGAAATTCATAGAAATTCATAGAAATTCATAGAAATTCATAGAAATTCATAGAAATTCATAGAAATTCATAGAAATTCATAGAAATTCATAGAAATTCATAGAAATTCATAGAAATTCATAGAAATTCATAGAAATTCATAGAAATTCATAGAAATTCATAGAAATTCATAGAAATTCATAGAAATTCATAGAAATTCATAGAAATTCATAGAAATTCATAGAAATTCATAGAAATTCATAGAAATTCATAGAAATTCATAGAAATTCATAGAAATTCATAGAAATTCATAGAAATTCATAGAAATTCATAGAAATTCATAGAAATTCATAGAAATTCATAGAAATTCATAGAAATTCATAGAAATTCATAGAAATTCATAGAAATTCATAGAAATTCATAGAAATTCATAGAAATTCATAGAAATTCATAGAAATTCATAGAAATTCATAGAAATTCATAGAAATTCATAGAAATTCATAGAAATTCATAGAAATTCATAGAAATTCATAGAAATTCATAGAAATTCATAGAAATTCATAGAAATTCATAGAAATTCATAGAAATTCATAGAAATTCATAGAAATTCATAGAAATTCATAGAAATTCATAGAAATTCATAGAAATTCATAGAAATTCATAGAAATTCATAGAAATTCATAGAAATTCATAGAAATTCATAGAAATTCATAGAAATTCATAGAAATTCATAGAAATTCATAGAAATTCATAGAAATTCATAGAAATTCATAGAAATTCATAGAAATTCATAGAAATTCATAGAAATTCATAGAAATTCATAGAAATTCATAGAAATTCATAGAAATTCATAGAAATTCATAGAAATTCATAGAAATTCATAGAAATTCATAGAAATTCATAGAAATTCATAGAAATTCATAGAAATTCATAGAAATTCATAGAAATTCATAGAAATTCATAGAAATTCATAGAAATTCATAGAAATTCATAGAAATTCATAGAAATTCATAGAAATTCATAGAAATTCATAGAAATTCATAGAAATTCATAGAAATTCATAGAAATTCATAGAAATTCATAGAAATTCATAGAAATTCATAGAAATTCATAGAAATTCATAGAAATTCATAGAAATTCATAGAAATTCATAGAAATTCATAGAAATTCATAGAAATTCATAGAAATTCATAGAAATTCATAGAAATTCATAGAAATTCATAGAAATTCATAGAAATTCATAGAAATTCATAGAAATTCATAGAAATTCATAGAAATTCATAGAAATTCATAGAAATTCATAGAAATTCATA